CACCGCTGTCGTCCTCTTCCTTTGTCTTCTCAGTCTCAGCTACCAAGGAAGAGAAGCTCCACCATGGATTCACCTCTGTCAAAACACCGTCAGATTCGAAACAGCTATTTTGAGAGTCTCTTCATCTAAAGTTCAGACCTTTATGTTCAACTCTAGTCGTTAACCATAAAAGCAGTGAATCGAGTGTAAGAAAGTGATGAGAAGTGATTCGTACCTTGAGGATCTAACTATCATTCTTCTTTTTCCTAGTTCAAGGATCTGCAACAAAGCAAACACATCAATTAAAATTGGAAAGACATCAAATAAAGGTATAACCTTCGCTTCTTTCTGCCGTCACATCTTTTTCCTCAGCAATAAACACCACTCCGCTTCTTCTTCGGTCAGTCTCTTCTTCTTCCTCTTGCCATCTCCGAACGAAGTCTCCTTTTCTTCCGACCGTCGCGTCTTCAACCTTCTCTGCCATCTCTGAACTCTATCTTTTCTCTATGTCTCCTCTCTCTCTTCTCTTACTTCTCTCTTCTCTGACTTGTGATTTCTGTCCGAATCTAAAGTCGGAAGAAGAAAGAAAGCGCCATCTAAAAGAATCACCGTGATGATAAGAGGTGGAAGAAGATTGACGTGAGTGGAGATGAGGACGTTTCGTCGGAGTTAGGCGGAGACACGGTGGTGAACCTGCCAAGTTCATGTTCATTCCTCTGAGATGCTCTCTGGCTGTGGTTAAGCCCTAAGTCTCAAATTTCTCGCTGGTCGGGAAATTAGTGAGCGGTGAATCAGCCCTAAGTCTCAAATTCTCATTGGACAAATGCGACAAACTCACCGACTCATTTGTCGCAGAAAATTAAAAAGAGAACTGGAATTGAAAAAGAGAATCACCAAGGGTCGGGGTTACTGTTTTGGATTTCGAGAGTGAGTTCTCACGATGACTTTTTTTTCAAGTCTCTTTAGTGACACTGATTTTTTTTAACCTTAAGTAATGAAGGATATCTCAACGAGGGAATAGTTGGCGCTTGTGAAATTTTTTTATCAAAGTATGGCGGTATTAGTGAATTTTCATTCCCGCTTGCTAAATTTACACAATAACATCAATAAAATGCTATGTATGTCAACAACAAAAAATAATTGATCTTTCATAGCAGTTAGGAAAACCGTGCTATCATATTCTGCTATTAATACCACTTTTTCTTGTAGTGAGAGTAGCTACCTAGAGTATGATCATGGATGTGATTTAACTTATCCTGAAATCATTTGGCATAAGCTTAGATCCTCTAGGGATGTGCGAGAGCCGGTCTATGATCTTGGTGAACACAGTTTCGATTCGATCTTATGCTATATCGATCAATACTCCTATAGAGTTATCGATCGACGGCAACCCATATCGTCCAATATCGCTGTCAAAACATCGGTCGATTTTGCCGGCAATAAGATCAATGGATGAGTCTATTTAGCGACTGCTATTGGATCTGTCTAAGAATCGAAGTTCTTATATATCTTGCAAGCAACTTACTAAATTAAACATTTGTAGCATTATAATCCTGATTATATGAATAGTAACCTTGAATCTAAATTCTTTCTTTTATTGTTTTAAAACCAAAACTCATTCTCTTGAGCAACTTATCATTGCTCACAAACTGCAATTTACTATTTTAAACTAATCAACCTAGCATAATCACTTAGGATTACATCTTTTGTGTTCCTTAGTTCCCTGTAGATTCGATCCCTAAGTACTACGACTGAACCTCTTATTTGAGAGAGTAATTCACTCCTTAAGGTTAAATATTTGAGTGATATCAGAAATCAAAGATGGGCCAAGAGAAGATAGAGCCCAAGACAAGCCCACTCGATGAGAACTTACCCGCTCAACGGTTTGATTTCAAAACAGAGGATAAGAACAAGAAAAGCAAAGTACACATGACGCAAGAATGCAGAAACCATAATGGTCTGAGTTTGTACAACAGATTCTGAGCCATTGATTCTATAGAAGAATAAGATCATGCCATCTGTCTAGACAACCTAGGGCTTCCATGTTTTTGTATAAATATAAGCTCATGCAATCGACAATGGCAAGAATGAATTAATGAAATTTCAGTAAACAAGTTTTCATCTTCTTCAATTTCAAAGTCCTGTTAACTTCTTTACGTCGGAGCTACAAGAATGGGGGTTGAAGCACAGAAAGAGTACGAGCCTCTAGTTGAAAGTTATTCTTTCTAGCCACCTTTACAACACTTCCAAGGTGTGAATTTCTCTATTTCACCATATTCCTCATTACCTAAAATGCAAGCACCTTTTCAACATAATCCACAATACCTCTCAGGTAACTTCAAGGTTGTGCAGGATTCGTTGCTTTGACTGCAAAACATGAAAAAATAAATTTCTTAAGCTAACGAATTTATAATACTTTATTAAACACTGATTTTGAACTTAGTATTATGGATTAGAGAAACCTTTGAAACAAAATCAGCTAAATGATAAGTTATACAATTTGAAAACCTTTAACGAAGCAAAATATTCATGTATTACAACTAGTATCCTTATTAAAAATCTAATACATGATCTTTCTTTTATCCTTATAGTCTAAAGCACAAATAGTTTTGAGTCTTGGTTTTCTGTAATCGAGAGTGTGATTGCTCTTGTCGCCGGTTACGTGAGAGAGTAGGATGTTTTGTATCACCGGCGGAAGCTTTCTCCAGAGAAAGATGATGATTTGGAAGAAACCTAGATAAGTTTGAGTCACTTTAGTCATTTACCTATTAATAAGTTAGAAATTTATGAAAATGTCTTTGTATGGAAAGTAAAATTGAATAGTGGTACTAAAGAATGTATAAAAGTAAATTTTTCTCATTCTTTTCAAATTACTTGATTGGTATAACATTATCATAAGCATTAAATTGTCTATTATCCAATCAATATTTGTCAAAGAAGCATTTGGAAAAGCATTTATCAAATGCAAATGCTCTTTCCTCAATACTCTCATATAGAGCTTTTGGGAGAGCATTTGGAGATGAAATTTATAAAATTTAAAAGAATTATATATAATTAATTTATTTTCTTTTAATAATATAAAAATATTTGTATAATCAAAAAATAAATTTATATTTTCACAAAATAAGAATAAAATTTTTAATTAAATATTTTTAATTTTTTTTAAAATAACAATGATTCACATTTTAAAATATAATAATTACAAATATCATTCATTATTTTTAATAACAAACATAACATAATATATATTTATATATTATAAATATAAACATATTATTTATATAGTAATAAATAAATTATATAACATATATTAATTTTTAGGATAATTTTATATATGAATCATTTAATGTTCTACCAATAAATAAATTAATATAATTTATATATAATTTATTTATTTAATAATATTAAATTATTTTATATCCAAAATAATTTAATATTTTTAAAATAAACTTTACTTTTTTAAATATAATTTCTATAATGAATAAGATTCATTATTTTTAATAAAAAATATATTATTAATATATATTCTAAATATATAAATATTATTTTAAAATAAATATATTATTCTACTAACTATTATGATAATTTTAAAATTGTATATTGTTCATGCTCTACCAATTATTTTATTAAAAAGTTTAATGAAAGCATACAGGTTCTGCAGCATATTGTTTCTACTGCCTACTGTTTTATCATCTGTTGTACCAATGAAAGCCAAAGTCGTTGTTTTGTATAGGTACATAACGAAATTAAAAAAAAAAAAAAAAAAAAAAAAAAAAAA